ATCTACAGCATATTTGCGATATGCCTAGTACATAGAGAAAAACAAACAGCACAGTCTGTAAAGTGTACATATATATTGTTGGTATTTTAGCTTTTTGTTCTTCTGCCTTACGTTTCACTACAGCAAACACAAGACAAAATTGTGGAGCAGACTGTAGTTCTTCGATGTCTACCAGTGCTGCTGCAAGAAGAGGACACAGAGCTGTTCTACACCTGCAAGGTGGGCTGATATACACTTAACATGTGCAAGCAATAGTAGGCAGAGTTTAAAGGAAGATTTATCAAAACCAACATTACAATTCTTTATCTGAACTCATTTTATATCAAATTGATTAGGGTGTAATGATTCTCCAAATCTTTCGGCTGAGACCTCGATTTTTGATCTGCAGTTCGGCTCATAACACTTTTTTTTCCTCCCAGGTTTTGTTTTGCTTTGGGGGGGGGCATTATTAGTATTATTATTATCCACCTTGGGTTATTAATTAAAGTAGTCTAACTTGCAGGCATGATCATTCAGTAATGACTGGACCAACATAATCATGTGACACGCAGTTGGAAGACAATAACATAGGTTTATGATGTAATATTTACAAAAAATAGGCCTACTGCTTGCTCTAACTGCGACCAAAATCGGCAGGTCAGACAATTAAAAATATCGGAATCGGCCAGGAAAAATGCAATCGGTGCTTCTCTAAAGTTGTTAATTACAATCGAGACCAAATGTAAGACGTGGTACTGAATGACATCAGCACCAACAGGTGTGTTCACTGTTTCGTTACCTGGTCCTTTCTGTAAAATATCCACCGTGTCCTCGCCTTCTAACCCAACAGAAGATAGCGTCTCTTCCTGTGTGTTTGTCTGCACGTGTAAATTGCGCGCACTGTGTCTTCGAAAATGTTTTAGCGTGTGAGGCTGTGACAATAGCTGGTTACTGTCTGTGCCACTCTGTATGTAAAACACCCTGTGTGTACCGTTAAATGTGACCGGCCGAAAATCGGATATTTGATGCTGCTCAGACACGGTCACGGCCTATTTCAGTCCACAACTAGCCTCCTCCACACGCGACTCACTGTGACTGTGGATAAGCACCTCATACAATCCCTTTAAGGTTAGTTTGGGAAGGAATCATACCACCACTTTGACTGAAGGTGATGACCAATGATTACTTTTAGCTACCTCGTTAGACTTACCCCGGACTCACACAGGCGGCGTGTGCGTAGCATTACGGCTGCGCCACGGCTGCCTTACCTAATCGCTGCCATTGTGGTCAATGCTTGTGCTCACACTAGGAGCGCAGCAGCGCGTCCCGGAAGCGGCTCTCCGCTCTGCTGAGCGAAGAATTGGCAGCCGGTCTATTTTTGACGGAAGATGCGCCAAGTAGCAGATAAGCCGGGCAGGAAGTCAGACACAGAAACAGCAAAGAGAATCTGGTCGATTTTCAAAATAAAATACCTTGTGCAGACTCCCAGTCATATATCAAAAATAAACACAGTTAAAACAGACCAGAAAAGAAACAATTTAACTAATGTAGCCTTCTTAACCACAGTAGAAGCACAAAAATCAAGGACAACTTACTAAATCAACTAAATCTAAACAATTCAGCAAAATCAGGCAGGCAAAACGATCTGATTCTTAAATGCTCCATGTGGGAAATTCAGCCCTGCAGGGAACTGGGGGAATACTGTTAACAGAACGCTGTGATCAATTGTAGAAGCACACAAATTGACAAATGAACAACAAGTCAACAACGTGGGACATGCTAAACGCGGCGCACACACCGCCTGTGTGAGTCCGGGGTTAGTTTTCATGCACTTTTACATAATTGCAACAGGTATAGTACTGGTGTTACATCTTCCTTAATTTGTGGATATATATTCTTTCAAAGAAATAATAATTTCTATTTTTCAAATAGCAAGCTTTCCTCGTACCCCCTGGTAAATGAGAAAGTACCCCTGGGGTACAAATACCCCTGGTTGGGAATCACTGTTTTGAATAACCCACTTCTTAACAAATCAAAAATCAGGGACTGATTTTGTGGCACACTGTAAGGCTGTGCCAAGTTGAGCGAGTACATTTGTGAAGTTGCAGAGACAAATTCGATAGTTTGTAATCACCAAGTTGTGGTTGTACTGGAAAATGGACTCAGGTAAAAAACAAACAAAGAAACCGAGTACATGTTGCATTACAAGTCTGCAGCTGTCTTTGTATTTATGTAAATATCAATCCACACATTTGTGAATATTTTTTCTCTGACTTCATATTGAGAACACGGGTGTGTGGATGGTGTAAGAGTGTAACTTCTACAAGCTCTCTCTTTTTTTTTCTTTCTGTGACTTCAAATTCAGCTAACATGTTCCTGAATGTTTTATACAACTAAGAATTTTAACATACAGGTTCAGATTTTTGTCCAACAAGTTGTCAAGTCTACAAGCTCTCACATTTTGCTCTATATTTACCTTCATACATGATGAGGCAGTTTTTTAGGGCTGACAAAAGTCCACAGTGATGTGTTGCGGTTCCAAGGGGCAGAACCGTGGTGACACACCGCTGGACTGTTTCCTGGAGCTGTCTTATAAAAAGGGAGGGGTAGTGGCTCGGTGTATAACGTAATCTATTTTATTTCTAGTAGGTTATTTCATTATTTAACTGTTTCAATTCTAGTTAATTCTCCACCTTGTTTTTGTGTTTCCTCACTACTTGAATCTGCTCCATTTCTCTTCACTTCACTTTCCCCTACACTCACATACACACCTACACCTCTGGTCTCTCACTGCAAACACACCTGCTTGCCCCACCTCTTCCTGTCTCTCTCGCCCTGTATGGGTGCTCTGCTCTGCTGACTTTCTCCAGCAGTACATCGTTTAAAGTCACTACATTTAATAAACTCACCCGCAATGTGTGTAAAGTGACCAGTTTATATCTCTGTGTTGCATTGCAAAATGCTAAAATGTGTCGTCCGATATACTTTGGCAGCTGTCAATATATCTGTAAATATATCAAGTAAAGTATGTCGAGAATACTGCATTTAAAGTTAGGATGAGCTGTTGTAGGCCTATATATTGTAAATATTACACCTTTTTTATTTTCTTTCAACTGTGTGTGTGTGTGTCACGTTACTATTTTGGTCCAGTTATAATTGAGTGATCATGCCGGCAAGTTAGACTAGTTTAATTAACCCAAGATGGATAATGATAATAAAAATTATTAAAAAGGTCATACCATAGCATCAGTCACTGCTGACAGTAAAGATGTAAGCATGGTGCCATTCCATCCCTGTGAAGTCAAGGTCTTCCTCCAGGAAGAGGTTTGATTGCCTGATGTACTCCTGTTTTTGTATGGCTGTATGTCCTCCAGCCTGAGTACTCTAAAGGCTTGACCTATATTTTTGAGTTTAGAAATCCTGCTAGATGTGGATGGAGTAAAACTGAAACCACCAAACATTGCCTGTAAACTACAAAAGTAGTGTAAGAAACTTGCAGATATGTTGAAATTACGCTCTTTTGTTGAGAAGATGTTAAGCTGTGATAGCCGTGATTGTGGCCCTTACATCAGTGCAGGGTCATGTTGGATTCTACAGTTTGCTAAAAAAAAATGTATTATGGATTAGCAATGAGAAGGTAGAAACAACATTGGAGTTTGTATGAACAATAGAGAGATGTGTTCATGACATTTTAATATATATTTTTTTTTATTGAGTGCAAGGTGTTTTTTAAATCAGTTGTATAATAGCAGAAGTTGACGTAAACTGTTTGTACACTTAACAAAATAGATTTTTGGTTCTAAACACAAATCCTGTCCTTTGAAAAACATTAATATATACATTTAACAACATAAACATAACTTCAACAATCAATCAACATTTATTTATACAGGTGAAACAATTAGCATATTGTGCGAAAGTTAATTTATTTTTATTTATAAGGTTCAGTATTGTAGCCTCAAAAGGTAATTGCAAAAGAAGTTGGATGTTTTCAAAGTGCTATATCAAGGCACATTAATAGAAAGTTAAGTGGGAGGAAAAAGTGTGGAAGAAAAAGGTGCACAAGCAGCAGGGATGACCGTAGGATGGAGAGGATTGTCAGGAAAAGGCCATTCAAATGTGTGGGGGAGCTTCACAAGGAGTGGACTGAGGCTTCAAATGTTGTATTCCTCTTGTCAAGCCGCTCCTGAACAACAACGTCAGAAGCGGCTAAAGAAAAAAAGAACTGGTCTGTTTCTCAGTCCAAAATCCTCTTTTCTGATGAGCGTAAACTTTGCATCTCATTTGGAAACCAAGGTCCCAGAGTCTGGAGGAAGAATGGAGAGGCACACAATCCAAGATGCTTGAAGTCCAGTGTGAAGTTTCCACAGTCTGTGTTGGTTTGGGGAGCCATGTCATCTGCTGGTGTTGGTCCACTGTGCTTTATTAAGTCCAGAGTCAGCGCAGCCGTCTACCAGGACATTTTAGAGCACTTTATGCTTCCTTCAGCAGACGAGCTTTATGGAGATGCTGACTTCATTTTCCAGCAGGACTTGGCACCTGCCCACACTGCCAAAAGTACCAAAACCTGGTTCAGTGACCATGGGATTACTGTGCTTGATAGGCCAGCAAACTCGCCTGACCTGAGCCAAGAGAAAGATGAAAGACATGAGACCGAACAATGCAGAAGAGCTGAAGGCCGCTATTGAAGCATCCTGGTCTTCCATAACACCTCAGCAGTGCCACAGGCTGATAGCATCCATGCTACTACTACACAAACGCATGGCTCAACACAGAAGGGCCAACTCCTCAGGTCAAGACTCTGCAGTCTACTTACATCTGAAGGACAGAGGACACTCGTTTGAGGACCACCAGGTGCACATTTTAGACAGAGAAGATGGATGGTTTGAAAGAGGTATCAAGGAAGCCATCTACACCAGGGTTGAGAAGCCGTCATTGAACAGGGGAGGGGGTCTACGCCACCACTTATCCCCCACTTACAATGCTGTCCTTTCATCACTTCCCAGGAAACTCAACAAACGTAACCTATTGGCCTCATGGGAAGATACCAACGATGGTCGTTCAGTCTTGGACACAGGTAGTCTTAACGACTGTAACGACTGTCGTCACAGCAACAACCAGCGGTATCGATGACCCTGGCCAACGACCCCACTGAGGTTAAATAGCTGAGTTTCCCTGCCAGTCAGTCAGAACTGAAGAAGTCCTCTGGATGAGGGATGAAACGTCTTCCAGTATTTTCAACCAAGTCCAGTTGCCCTTGATTTTAACCTTCGTTGGATTTTAAATAGACGTTATTTAACACCACTTATTATATACAAGTGGGATATTGTTAACGTTTATTTTTTATACACTTGTACTGTGAATGTTTAGATTGGTTTGGTCAATTTTGCTTTTATACTACTTGGAGTGGCAATTACATAATGTTTAGCTATTATAGCTCACTTAATTTGTTGATATATGTTTTTAAATAAAATCGTAATTTCAATTTGTTCTAGTTGAGTTACCCCATAATGTATCTACATATGCTCTTTCAACTGCAGAAGTACCCTCTGGCATATAAATACCCTTGTTTCAATATCACTTCTTTAAGGCACCATGGAGTGACACAGTCAGAAGTGAAGTACATCTCCTCCCAGCCCCGAGAGACAAGAGAGCCTGATGGGTGATAAAATACATCAAAACCACTGAGTTGAAAAACTATCAACTACACCCTTGCTTGAAGCTGACGTGTCTAAAAGCACATGCATGACTGAGGCATAGTAATAATATTTCAATGAAAGATGCGCGGCCTGAGTAAAGGGCACACTGAATTTACCAACCAATAAGCTGTAGAAGAGTTGCATTACGGATGAGGAATGAATAAAATAAAATAAGAAAAGAGATTCTCACCCGAAGCAGTGCAACACAAACTTTTTTTGTGTTTCCTGGAGTATAAAGATGGATGTAAGTACTATTAGTATTAGTGTTCATTAAAAAATATTAGAACAATGTGTAAGCAGAACAGATATATTTACAAGGAGTGGTGGTGAATACAGCTGAGGGAAGGAGTCTGAGATTTAGAGCAGATACAAATTCTAAAATACTGTAGATGCCATTTATTGAAACACTTTAGAACAGTGATGGTTCAGATCTGCACTAGGACTTAACCTTTACTATTTAGCTAATTTGAATCAGCAACCTCTCTGAAATACATTACAGACTTGTATGTCCATATGAGTCGGAACAGAGAAATTGAGTTCATGGGCTGCTGGAGCGTTTTGGGATGCTTAAACAGAATTTCAGATAGTTTCAATAAAATAGTATTTCCAGTCCTAATGAGGTAAAAATATGCACTTTCTCACAAGAAAAAGAATAACTTAGAAAAATAAATAGAATTTTGTTTTTAGAGACAGCATTACAAATGTCATAAGTTAGAGTCCAAACAATACTGGCTTTTACAGGCTGACATCAATATTGATATTCAATCATCAAAAATATCTGATAAAGATATATCTGCCAATGTTATTTTTTAAATATACATAAACACAAGCTTATGTTTTCTTAAACTAATTATTTTGGCCACTTGGAGGCAAACGGGAACAAGTTGTGAACAGCTTGTTAGCAAAAAGTTGCATATTTACTAATCAAGCAGTTACTGAGCAACATTATCATTTATTTGTAGTAGTCCACCTGATTATTGGAAGGCCAGTATTCACTCTCTTTTAGCTCTGTCTGTGGTCTTCTGAGGGAAATATCTGGCCCTTTAGCTGCTGAACACTCCACTATGTTCATTAGCTAGCAGCTAATTTGGTCTATCTGCCGTTTGGTGCCTAAAACAATACTATGAGAGAGGTGAGAAAGAAATGAACTAAAGAATTCAAGTTGTGGGCCAGACAGTTAAGCAATGAGCTGAAACTTACAATAAAGCTCCATAAAAATATTGTTCATGGCCACTTTAAGGATTCCTTTCATTGACTGAATAAATAAAGTTTATTATTGTGTCATGCAAACAAGAATGATCAGGTCCCAATAAGGCTTATGTAAGAAACCACATGGTCATCTACAGAAAGAAATTTAAAAAAAATGTAGAAAACCTACTCTAATCATTTTCACAATCGATTTTGCAGTCTCCGGAAAAAAAAAAAAAACAGCAAGGAACTCTGCAATTCCCTGTGCAATAACCCTGCTTAATTATCTAACGTAACCAAGCATTTTAGAGATAGTTTTATGTTTTAGGGTGTTTATACTGGTCACATTTTTTGTTTTTCTACTTGTGTTTGTCTGATCCTTGCATGTTTCTCCTGATCCTCTTGTGCCCTGGCTGCAAGTCAGGTTTCCCACTTAATAGTAAAATTAACTTAACAAACATTTAGTGTTGAAACCAAGACATATAATAAGTGGGATATTTTACAGTTGAAAAATAAACATGTCAGTGCTCTCTGGTGGGCAAACTATGAAATGACAAACATACTCATTACATAAATGCATACATACAACTATGCTTCTTCAAACACTTTTATCTCCTAAACAAATAAATAGATTTATCACTCTGGCTTCATGATTATACAAGATAAATATTTTGACGAAATACAGCTCAGTAACTGTCACAGCAACTTTCTCTTCCTGCATAGCAGTGCATTTCAGAAAAATGCACAGGAAAATAAATATTTTCAATGCGCTGTAGAAAGGTCAAAGAATCAATGGCTCTTGGCTTTAAGTAGAGATGGGAGGTTCAACACTTTTAACTGACACAAGTTTGTATGAGTCACTCACAAAGGAGCATCGATTTTCAAGTCACTCGAGTCACCAAGAGCTTGGTGAATCCCCCACCAGCCCCAGCCCCCATAGAGCACGTGCAACAGAAACATCAGCTGGCTCTTCCAGTTTAGCCCTCTGCTAACCTGAATGGGATCATTTAATCTTGCAGCTATTCTACACTTGTTCCAAATGTTATTCAACCAAACTGATCAAAATTCTGATGTTTTTGATCAGTCATTTTGTGGGAGTTATGATGCTCAAAAAACTATCCGCCATTTAAGATCTATGATCAGAACTGCATCCATAGCAACATAGTCTGCCAATAAGAAATCACTGATTGTTGTATTTCATGATTGATCAACCAGAATCGAGTAATAGTAAATGGGCGGTTACTGACTGCGGCATGGAATTTGTGAGTGAGTGATTTCGTGCAACCCGAGAGACCTTCAGCTCAGGGCAGCGAGAGGTTAATGGCTAGAAACCTGTATGCATGGCATCCACTTTGTATACTTTATAAAGCAATGTCTCATGCATTTGTCCCTGTCACATAAACAAGAAATAAAATAAAAAGTGGCTGCTTCTCTCACAGAGCTAGGTTAATACATTAATTAACTAGCAGGTAGAAAGGGGGGAGTCAGTGAACAAGATAGTGGAGATGAGGACTTGTGACTCCCAAGTCAGTAAGAAGAGTCATTCATTTCAAACAATTCACTCATGAATCGCACATCACTAGCTCAAAGTTAAAGCCCCCCTCCAGTGTATTTTGACATTTCTATGATATTTCATATTTTCATTTCCTTACAATGTTGATTACCCACATAGTTAGCCAAATATTTTTTGACAAATAGCTTAATTTTGTGCTCAAAGTTGCAAAAGTTGCTTAGTTGTTAAAACGGGGTGGTGACGTATGACTATAGTAATTCCATAAGTCATACGTGGTTCTCCAAGCTTGCGCAGGCATACTGTCATGCCCCGTTAAAAACACTGTCACGCCTCGTTAAGTCAGAGCATCAAACCGATAAACATCGTTGTGAGCTAGCTAACCACTTTAACATGTCATTTACTTAGAACTTACAGTAGGTATGTTCATTATGGCATCTGTGCGTGCGGTGTTGGAGGACAGATGACAGAAAACGCGTCGCACTTTCACCTGCCACCGTCTTATACACAGTCTGCAGCATGCATTTTACTGACGGCCGTTTTACCAATGCATTGGCGGAGGCGCCCCACCCCTGCGGTAAAGTAAGCGCACTATAAAACGTAATGGGAGTTATCGTGTGCAGTGCATGACAGGACCATCGACTGTATGATTGATTGAACAGCTGATATTAGTTTCTATCATGGGTAAGTAATAGCTACTCCTGCCAGACAGTAAAGTGTACTAAACTTTACAGTGTAGTGATGTTAACACAGCATATCGTTAGTGAACACTCCGGTCAGTTTTTGGTTGTCATGGTAATGTATTATGTCCGACTATTAACCACACCCCCATTCTGTGTTTGAGAAAGAACGTTCACCAAAAACGGCAGTTAAAACTGGCTGGAGGGAGCTTTAAATGGCAGTTCGTTAAAACGTCTAGTTGAGAAGCAACTACAAGGCACTGCACATTGTGTAAAAACCAAACCAAGAAGCTTTATCAACAGAAATGTGAGAGCAGGGAGAGCAGGTTAAAATGGGTCATCAGCTAGCCCTCTGCTAATTACATTACCAATATTATCAGCTTTTTGCATAGAGATAAAATTGTTTCATTGTCAAATATATATTTTTTTATCAGTGTTCACCAACCCGCGACAGAAGCAACTGGTTGTATTCTCTCGTATGACTCATACATCCGGACTGTTCTTCTTGTTCTTTTCCTCTAATTGTACGTTCTGTGTTTCTTGGTGGAATGAAGGCAGTCAGAGACTTGATTGGGATGTTACTGGCCCACTCTCATCGGTTCAGCTCTGCGTTCTCAACACAATGACAGGATGTGATGTCACACAGTACCATTCTCCCGGCTGCAGGCAGTTTGGCCTGTGGCCTGCTGGCATTTGGGGTGCTGTGGTGACCAGTTACCCACGAATGAAGAGAGCTCGGTCTGATACAAAACCAGTGGAGAGAAATCAATGGTTAAGATAGTTTATTTCAATCCATACTTGGAGTGCCTGGGTACTTCTCCGTGAACATGCGTGTAAAATATGTTGAATGTTTATTTTTTGATGTTTTGTGAATGGTTTTTACTTGAATTTTGTTGAATGAAAGGAGGTTGAATTGGCTCATTTGGTGTCTTCCATGCTGAATTAGTTTTTTCCACTGGAGGTTCTGAGAATAGCTTGACCCCTTGATGACTGACCAGCAGGCACATTAGACATGTCAAACCTCTTTGAAGATAAATCCTGTTGGACCGTCTCCTTGGAGACTCAGGGACAGACAGTGCGGAAGTCATTTCAAAAGTAAAAAGCTTTTGTTGAGCCTAAGACAGACTTCTGTAAATTTTCTTTGATTGGCAAATTTTGTCCTAGAGCCTCAGCAAATTCTCTAAGGTATGCTACCTGTTGGCTCTTGACAGCCAATCATAGCTTAGCACTGCTTATGGCCAGAACCGTGGCCCTGTAGAACTGGCTTCATCTTGACTGGCGCCAGGGAATCAGGGTCAACATTTTGCTTGGCACGCTTCCAGTGTCATGAACTGGAGGGAGTGAAAGGGAAGGGAATGGAATGAGGAGAAAAAAGAGAACAGGAAAAAGAGCTAATATTTTTAACTCATGCAGTGCGTCACAGAGACGTATGGGCCCGTCTGCTGAGGAGAAAAGTGGCCAGATAGAGTATCCTCGGCCAGCTTCTGATGTCATTTCATCTTTCATCGTCAGTTTGCCTCCGGTTATGTTTCCATGATGTCCATAAGAGGTGGTAAATATCTCTCTATATTTTTGAAGCCATATTTTCTTTTAGCTTTTCTTCTATTCTATGTATACCTCCTAAAGTGTAGATGTGTGTCTGTCTGGGTGAGACGTTTTCTGCGCATAGTGTTGATTCAGCTGTAGCCTCCTGAATGCCTGACAGCCAACTGACACCCTTTGTCACTGGGCGCTGGTGTGCAATCATGACTCAATAAGCCCAGGAAATCAGGGGAGAGTAAGAGAGTGAAAACACACAGACCAGAGCCGAGCAGAGC